TTTCCCCTCACGGAACCCCTGCGGACGCCGCCACCGCCGCCATCTTCCGGGCTACCTGAGAGAGCGAGCGCGAGCGGAGGGTGGGCGGAGCGTGCTTGCTGAGTGACGGCGCGGCGAAGCCAATCAATGCGCGCCTCGCCCTCAGAAGGCGGGATTAGAGGCTGGTGTGGGAGGTATGATAAGTGATTGGCAGCGTGGCCAGCCAATCACTTGCGGCCGGCGCCGGCCCCCGCTGGGGGGGCCCCGGGCGGGACGGGAGGAACCGGGTACCGCGGCGCTGCTCGGTTCTTCCTCCCGCCCGGGGCCCCCCCGCGGGGGCCGGCGCCGAGCGAGGGAACCCCCAGATACCCTCACACCCCCGCTCCAAGGCCCTCATGGTGTCACCAAATGATCCCTGTTTTTTGGAAATGTTCTAATTTATTCCCCCCCTCCATTTTCTTCTCCCATATTTTACTCCCAATAACGCCAGGGAAGACAATCTCCCCTTCTGCTGTTTTAGCGAGATGCTCTTAGGGCATTGTGCTGCTTGAGTTATTTATTTTAAAAGCCATATAAAACCAATTAACAGTCCCAGAAAATTCCTTTGGAATTTTTTTTTTTTAAGCCATATAAACCAACAAGTAGTCCCAGGGTATTCCTCTGAAATGTATTTTCTTAAACGCCATATAAACCCATCAACAGTCCCAGAGTATTCATTTGGAACTATTTTTTTTTAAGCTATATAAATCAACAAATAGTCCCAGGGTATTCCTCTGGAATTATTTTTTTAAAAGTCATATAAAGCAGTCAACAGTCCCAGAGTATTCCTTGTCTGGCCAGAGGTAGGTTTTATGGACTGGGAAGGCAAATTATGGTCTTTTCCCATTAAGTTCATACACGGTATGTAACACATTATTATTTTTTTTCCATGAACAAAGAGCCCCCATCACAATTTAAATAGCTCTGTACCGATGTACGAGCATTCAGCCAGCTCTTTCCCTACGTATATTATAAATACACAGCAGAATTCATGGTTATCCCATCATTCTTCACCATATCCCACCTCCGTCCACCAAGTACGGACACCAGGGCCGGTGCCTCTGGATGTGAGTGGTCTCCTTCCAGCTGACACTAAAGCCAGAGTTTTTAAGGCCGTGTTTTCAGAGGACCCTGGGGTATAACTACACGGGGAAATCCAGTGTACTCCAGCACCCAGGGCTCTTTGAGATCCATCATCGACTCCATGCAAATTCCATACGTAAATAACTCTGAGGTTCACAGCAGCTACAGGTGTGGAGTCTACAATGTCATCTGCAGCCCATCAGCAGGTTCACCATGAAGGGTGTTATGGTTTCAATGGTGAAAACCATTCGGCTGCTATATTTCCCAGCTCACTCCATCCTAACTGAATGGCAGGCCCCTGATGCCATTTCCTGATAAAACACCCTGCTGTGACATCAGCAGGAAGCGGTGGCAGCGTGTCATTAGCAGGACTTGTCGGGGCACTGATCTGTAATGATGGGACACTTCAGGTTAGCTGGTAATTAGTCACTGGTGGAAGCTGAAGAACCAAACCATCCACCCCTTTGTTCTCCGTGTTAATCACAGTGACTCCCTGTCTCCAAACACGCCGGGAACACCCCCAAAACCACGGTGGGAAACCTCATCCACTCCCTGCCGTCACGGGAACGGCACCATTCACCCATCTGCCATTTCTGCCCTTAAACATCGGTAGGAACGACACGAGACTGATGGGATGAGCAACCGAATGCCAAGTAACCCAAAAGGTACTTAAAAAGAAATGTATTTTACTTAAACAAAACTCTCCCTGTACACAAAGGGGATGTATTGCCACCTACCACAGCCTCATCTCTCTCCATTATGCGCCGCTATCATTGCCAAATTACTGAAGCTGCTGTTCCGTGTGGGAGGTGTTAAAACCCCTTTTTAGAGACAGATA